AATATAAATAAGGTTGTTAATCTTTAAAAGAGAGTACTCACATGCTTAAAATACGTATTTAGTGTTTGTAATGTAAAATATGTTTTTTTAAAATAATGAGTATGCCACTATAGGAGGTCTGGTCACTTACCATATTGATACATTCATCTTGTCACTGACATTAATGCCACTTACAGCTCTAAAGAGACTTTTTTTTTTTCTTTCATGTTGCTATTATTTAAGAATTTTTTTTCTAACCTGGTTTAGTAATTAAAATTTAATTTTGAAGGTCTGTATGTACAAAATGGAGTGCTTTGAATATTTTTATATGGAGCTTTAATCCTCTAAGCTTGTGATTATTTTTTTTTTTTTTTTTAAGGAAAATGTAGGGGGTTTTAAATATAAATAAGGTTGTTAATCTTTTAGGAACTACCTTAGAAAACTGAAGCAACATTTTGTTTTTAGTAAAAACTAAATAAAAATGCTCATTCTGAAGTTTTGGAAGCAGAAAAACAGGCAGGTAAAGAGGAATCTGACTTGGCTTGGAAAACCTTGTTCCTGAGTCTCTTTAGGCAGACAGATTAAAATTCCTCAGAGTTTAACCTAGACTGCAGGACTTTGCAAAGAAAGTATTTGACACTGTAATGACAGCTCCTAGAAATCTGATCAGGGATTGAAAACAAACCCAGTAAAAAAATACCAAACTTGGGTCCAAGTGCTGCAGAGAGACCACTGTGACTCCATGTATCTCTTTTCATTCCATGATTTTAGTGACCCAGTCAACACAGGCAGAAGTTCCATCTTAGCAAAATAGTCTGACGATTTAATTGGTTGTTTTGTACCATGGATGGTGGCTAAGGCTGAGGGACTAATGGGAATAATTATTTACAGGCAGTTGTTAGGTTTATAGTGACCCATGGTTTTCTACAGACACCGAGCTCTTCTGCAGGTATGAATATGCAGTTTGTCAGCAGAGTAAACAGGAAAGCCTGCCTTTTAGAAGTTATTGCAAATCATGCCATTTCATTGGCTTTGCAATTAGATTTCATTGCTTCTCATTCCACCCAGATTGTGTATATGTTGTTGTTGTACCTGTTACTTGCATCGTAACAAAACCATGAGTCTTTATGGTCTGCTAGTCTACAGAGAGCAGCATAATGAAGACAAACGCATGCTTGGCTGGGTCTCCATTCTCTCTGGAGGACTGCTCAGGACACTCATGTAGTCTTACCTCTACTGCTGCACCCAAATCTCAGAGGGTTGCAGGACACTAAAAATGTTCTGTGCTTTTAAGGGACAAACATTTTGTGTAAGTACATTTCCAGGCAGGCTCAGTTCAGTGACAAGGAGAGTTTCAGTCTGCTGATATTATACTCTTTAGCTGCAACTGACAGTAACAAAGCAAGTCACAGAGGAGACAAGTAGGAAGGTTTTCTGTACTGAAAGACCCAGATGATAGTTGCAACCTCCAGACTGTCAAGCTTGAATCCTCCCGAGCAGGAGACTGAAGGCTGCAGCAAGTGAAGCAGATTGTTTCCTTCTTTGTCTCTAGGATGTTTATGTCCACTCTGAACGAAACTCAAAGCTCGTATTCTGGGACCTGCAGTCTCCATCAATCACATTTCCTTACTCAAAAAAATTTTACTTGCAAGCTGTAGTGTCAACAGGGTCTTGCGTACTTTGTGGGAAGCTGGATGAAATATTGCACAGGGATACTCAGTATTTTTCAGCCTGGAAATACTGTGCCAATCCAACTTTTAAAACCAACTTTTTGGGGAAGTAAATTACTTTGGAAAAGAATCAGTAAATTAAGCCAGTCAAGTCTAGGAGACTGCAATCTTCCAGGAGTTTGCTTACCTTTTGGCTTTTTGTGCCAATCTGAGCACAAGGACTAGCAACACTTCTTTTAATAAAAGCTTGAACAGTGGAATATGAAGCTTTGGATATGTGGAACAGATGAGCCTCAAGTATAAAATTTGGTTGTGTGCATTTGACCAAATGTCAACGCTCTAGGCAGGCTGCATTGGATTTAAAAGGTTTTGATCAAGTTTACTGGCTAAAAAAATCCTCTCTCATTAATATGACATTTTTCCTTAAAACCAAGCAAAATCAATGAAATAGTAAAATTCTAGTGCAAATATTGGAAGACCAAAAACATTCCTCAGTCTAGTGAGTTCTTATACCATTCATCCACTCTCTGAGCAGATGTGATATGGAAGGTGGCAGGGTTTATCTGACCCCAATGGGAGGAAGATGATACAACTTCTACTATCTCTGGCTTATAAGAGAGTAGCAGGAGGCAAATACAGTGCTTGTGAATATGTAGTACCTACGATTTCTCATTTCTTGATGTCTTGACTTGTTAATTGGTTTTTATTTGCTGTATGTCTTCCAGGCACATTGTTGTGTGTGCATTCCTTGCACACTTCTGTATTTCAAAACAAAAATATTTGTAGTAAGATGCTAAAGTCGGATAAATGGATTTTGTGATCAGAAACGGCTTTCATTTGGTGTTAGTGGGCTCACTATGGTTTGCTCAGTAACATTGCAAACAGTATTTTGAATGATTCAGACAAATGAGAATCAAACTTCACTGTGCTTAAAGGGGAAGAAAAGTAAACACAGAGTGCCTCAAAGCTGGCAATATTTGTTGAAGATTAACAACATCTCCCCACCTCTCCACAAATAAAAAGTAATTTGTGAGCCATAAAACTTAATAAATTCATTTTTCTCTGGCTTGCCTTTATGTGGATTCCCTGTTGCCTGATGCTTTGGCTGAGCCTGCATTGCAAGCTGTCTCTCAGCATATGGAGTACTTGTCTGTCCATCTTTTGATGGACAGGCTATTTATCACAAAACATGGGAAAACTTAATATCCCTTTGGCCTTTCTCCTTTTGTCTGGTTTGACAAAATTGTCTCATGTGTCCCTGAGTTATTGCAGGTAAGAGTCGGACTGAAAATAGTGTGATCACATCCTTTCCTTTCCCTAAGGAACAGACTGGAGGGAAAAATCCTAGTGGTAGCACCATTGTTTCACTCACACTGTCCAGGAAACACTGAATTTGGAGAAAATGGAGCATTTTTGCAGCAGTCTAACTTTGTGGTGTGCTCATTGGGAGGATTACAGTTGGGTAACCTGAAATCCTCTGACAGAGCTGGAAGTATTTGTTATTAGTAATACCCAGCATTTTAGTAGCGGACCTCAAGTGCTTTATAAGGAGAGCAGTATCATAGTCACTGTTTGTAAAAGCAAGACTGAAGGAGATGCAGTGATGTGGTCAAGGTCATCCCAGAGGCCAGTGGCAGAGATAGGACTAGTCTTTGTATTCCCTGAGTCTCCTCTGCTTGACAGTCTTCTGTCCACCAGCCATGAAACTCACAGAGGACTTGAATCACATGAACAGATCTGTTATCTACAACGTCACGCCTATAGATAACAGCCACGCAGAACTAAGCTTTGGCCCCGTTTTCATATTGAAGATTAAAGCAGCCCTGCAGAAAGTGTATTTCAACTTTCTGTCTTAAAAAATATGCAGCTAATTAGGGATGTAAAGGGGCTGAACTCAGCTCTAAGACTGCTGATCTTTCCTAGTGAGACACTGCCTGCCAGCATTGTTAGGACTCCAACTAACCCTTCATTGTCTTCTATCTCGTTGAGGTCCTGAGCATGCACAGAAAAAAAGGAGGATTGATGTCTTTATATTGTCATTTCTGGCTGTCTGCAGGATACCCTTCAGCCATTTTCAGCAGTGCTCAAAAGTATGCTCTGCTGTTTTTAATCTTGTTTTGCTTTTTGTTTTTGCTGGTGGCACTCTTCCATGCCCAGAGACTTTTTTAATTTTTACTTTTGTAGCTGTGCAATCCCACCTTATTAAGTTGGATTCTGCTTCTAGTCTTATCCTTCACAGGGGTATATTTTTAAATGGCTGAAAAAGTGCATATGCCAGCATTCTACACTAGGAGTTCTAATATGTGATGCACACTGGGGAAGGAGTTGTGCTCTGCTTTAAATATCATAGTCCTGATAGATGAGAGAAAAATTCTGCAGTGTCCAATCAGCTTTAGTTTGATTTCTGTTCAATTTAAGTACTACAGAATTTGAGTCACAGTTTTTAGCTTGAAGGAGGTTGGATTTTTTTTTTCCTTTTTTATTTTTTGGGACAGATGAGAGAAAAATTCTGCAGTGTCCAATCAGCTTTAGTTTGATTTCTGTTCAATTTAAGTACTACAGAATTTGAGTCACAGTTTTTAGCTTGAAGGAGGTTGGATTTTTTTTTTCCTTTTTATATTTTAGGATCCTCTGGGAAAATAAAATTAATATTTTACAGAACAGTATTTTAAATAATGGTTTATAAAAGATACTGCCATGCTGCTGACTCCCAGTAGCATTAGCTATGTAAAATCATATTAAATCCATCTTGTAGAAAAGCAAAATATCCTATTTTAATGATAGATTTTGAAGAGTATGGCTTTTATCCATCTAGAGTTTTGCTAATAAGTTAACTGCAAAAGATCAAGCTGCTCGCATGTGTTGAGCAATAACTTGAACCACTTTCCAGCAAAAATACTATAGGCCTTTGCTGGACTGCTGTGCAGTGACTCCAGGGATTTCAGAGGGAGATACTGATCTCTGCAATGCTTCTGTGTGCTTTTGCCAATCTGAGGCATTTACAGTATGTCAAAACAATCAGTGATTACTGCTCTGCAGTTTTGATGCGCCTTTTTTGCAAAACAAAAAACTTCTTGTGGTTTCAATGCCCACATAAGCATCTCTGCATGCTGAAGTAAAGCTTTCTTGCCTGTACATATGGACCTGATATGTATATTTGCATAATAGCTCTTTTTTTTTTCAATGTAAAATTCTGTTGGAGCACAATGGAACAGGGTCTGGTCTGAAAGCCACTCTGACAGTCTGGAATTCTTGCTTCTGAACAGCAGCTTATCCACAGCACAGAGATTTTGTGATAGCCATACAACGTGACACCTGCTGTCCTTCCAAGTGGAAGAAGACGCATCTGGGATGCCCTTCCGCCTGGATGGTCAGAACTGCCCCTTCCTTGACTGCCGCGGGAACGTAAAGCTCCACAGAAAGCTGCTTTACAGAGACAAGCAGAGACAAAGGTTGCCAGTTTCTCTGTGTCTCAGAGAGACACGTTCCCCGTTTTGCAGGGAATGTAGAGCTCTGCAGAGCAGAACACCCAGGAGGGGGTGCAGCTTCCTCTGCTTCTGCACGAGCCCTCCCAGGGAGCTCCTCCGCCTGTCTGGAATATGCCACATTATCCCACAGACAGGCACGGGGATGCTTTGTGCTTCTGGGAGCCACTGTTGTTCTCGGAGGGAGCTCTGCATCCTCCTCGCAGGGCTAGAGATCTGCAGCTCCAGTCCAACCCACCCAGCCACTGCCTGTCTCCCAGGGTGCTTAATCGCATGGCAGCTGGGAAGAAAGTGTTGCAGTTGAGTACTGCCAAGGCCAGCCTGTACGAATCAGTTGGAAATGCTACCTGAGAAGTCAGTAATTGATTAGCACCACTGAGAGCAAAATATTCGGGCTGTGTATACATTCCAGCCTGTAAACTACAGTGCAAGGAGGCAGATTTGCTTGCAGATTGGTAGTCCCTAGCAACACCATTTGATAAAGCCCTGCTCTGGTTTGAGAGGTCCAGGCTGAATTTTCTGTTCAGTGTTCCTGACCCTAGAAGCCTGGCATTTGTTTACCAAAAGGAAAGAAAGAAAGAAAGAAAGAAAAAAAAAAAGCACAGTTTCATCTTTAAAGCTCTGCAGCTCGATTGGCAAACAAATGCTGGGAAGTGCAGCTCTGCTGAGGTTGTGCAAAAAGAAAGCAATTGTTATTCATTAGGCAGATGACAGCAATGGGAGCAAAGGGGATAAAACTGGAAATCTGAAACCACCTGCTTTAATTTTAGCCATAATTGAAGCGTCTGCCCATGATGTTGCTGATGCACGTATCAAATTTGCACGCCATGCACTGCTCTCACTGCTTTGTGACAGCAGCTCCAGCCCACTGCCTGCTCTGCTTCACGAGGGGATGAATCTCCTGTTTGATTGCAGATCTAACGGGCACTTTAGAGTCTATTTGTTTCCTTCTAGGAGCAAAATGCAATCACAGTCTGGCTCTCTGATAGACAGATGCTTTAGTCATTAGTGAGGTTTCTGTGACTACAACGCTGTGTCCTAGTATGGGTGCACTTATCTCTTTTGTTCCTGGTTCGAAGCAGTGGTGCTTTTCTCGCTCTTGTGCTCACGGGCTCGCTCTTTCTCTCCCTCCCTGTCTCTCTGTCTTTGATCTTGCTGATACGGAGAAAATATCAGATCCAAATCTTCAGCATATGTAACCAAAACACAAGATGGGAATAAATTGTGACTGAGTGCAGGAGCAGGGCAGTGCAGTATGGCTGCTTGTACTGCTGGCTTTCTGTTACTGCAAAACACCAGCAATTGTCAAGGAGTGATAGGGTTATTCTGCAGCTAAATATGCACTTAGGGGCTCAGTATTCACAGAGGGATGAAGTGGCTTTGCTGGGAATGGGTGGACTATGCAAAGCTCTCCTCTTCTGGTGTGTAATGCAGGGATTCATGTGAAACAGGTAAAAAGGGAAGAGATCTTTCCTCATGGCAGGGAGGGTCTCATCCTTCAATAAATTCCCTGGAGCTTTTGCCACTGAGTTAAATGGCTGTAAGATAGCACTGTCACTTCATATTCAACCTCATTACAATACTAGTGACATAAGCCTGAGAGCTGGGAAGCTCACAGAGAAATCACTGAAGGCAGGAAAAGTCTTGACCTCAGCTGCACAGTGAAATGTTAGAGTGGGAGCATTAACAGTCTGTCCTTGAGCTGCTTAGTGCAGATTTATACTGCGTGTGTTTATATGTGTATGCCAACTTTCAAAAGCTATGAAAAGCTTTTTTATGGTTTCCTGTGATGATACATAGTCAGAGGGGATACTTGGATGAATAAAGAAATGTACCACAAAATGGGGAGCAGGTGAGCTGCGTGACGGATGTGTGTGCTGTCCTTTGTGAATCTGATGCTGCTCCTTAGCTAACCGTATAAACTGCTGGGAATACGACATGAGGCTCAAAGCCACTTGGGATGTTGCTCAGGAGAAGATCCTCACTGCTTTGGAGCATAGCATGTTGTGTGATCTAAGATCCCCATTCCCTTTTGATCAGTGTTGCCTACTAAGCATGTCTTCATTCCTCTGCTTCACTGATCATTTACAGCTGTTCTCTCTAGTTCATGAGAAATTCCTAAAGCGCTGAGGCAGTAACTGGACTGTGTTGCTCTGTAGTGCAGCCCAGAGCTGGTGCTGTGTTTCAAGCAGCCAAATGAGATTCACACTCAAGTCCCAGCAGACATTGTTCATCTCAGTTGTGAGTCCACATTTTTCTGGGGTCTGGTCTCTCTCTGGATGTCTTCCTTGTCGTAACACAGAGGACAATGGCTGTGGCATCCAGACAGTTAGGTGTGTTACCCCTGTACTTGGGGAAACTGCCAGCATGGCCTTTTTGTTCTGTCACGTAGGTACTTACATCTTTAAGCAAACATAAAACATGTTGCAGAGTGGGTCATGCTGTCTCCCTGACTTGCTTTCAGGTTTGTAGAGTGAGTTGTGCTGGTTTTCCCCTGCAGTCTTTTTCTCACTGTTATAGTCTAATACCAATATTTAGAACATGAATTAGTGAGCAAATACCCGCATAATGGGCACTTACTTAAAACCAAATAGTTTATGTCAGAATATAATGAGTTCTAAAAATATATCTGTGGAAGTTTTTCCTCTGTGTATTCCTGGTGATGAAGAGGAGACTGAACAACCTGTCATGTTGTTTCAATTCCCTCTTGCATACAGCTGAGCTGAAAGCAAATGCACGCTTCTATCTCCCACCAGTGTGTATCTTCCTTCTATGTGCATTCAAATAATAGATTCTCCTTTTATTTATCAAATAATTTGCTTTTTTAAGCAAAAGAAGTTGTGTAATTGCTGTGTCCACAAGGCCTGTGACAACTCTGTCCATCATGGATTGTCTCCTGCAGACATGGTGACATACAGCCCAGCATGCCAGAGCCCCACCATCCACAACCCTGGGCCATGCCACAGAAAACAGACAGGGAATGGTTTAGAATGGTTTGGATGTGCTCTTATACTCCTGATTTTGGCATAGATTCAGCAAATGCTCTACTAAGACGTAAACCTTAGGCATCCATTCCTTTAACAGAAAGGAGTCCTGTGATGTTGCAGCTCCACATCTGGCTCTGGTTTCTCTGTCCCCAATGGGTGTCCTTTGCAGAAAGACCAAAAAGACTTGAATTCTTATAAAAGCTCATACTCCCTTGAGAGCTACGTAGCCAGCAGATGCTTTACAGTGAAAGAGAACATCCTTTGAAAACAATCTGGTGTTTATTAATCAACAAGAATTCAGTGTTTG